TTAAGAAATCCAATGGCGTGAGGTTAAACGGTTATGACGTTTGATCCAAACCAAAGGTGGACGCCAGTGAGGTATCTTGCTATACACAGTAACTGCACGAAAGCGTCGTCGAGGCAAGTTGCACAGCTTTTTTTACTTTAAAAATTTAGTGGGCATTAAACGAAATCCATTGCCAGCGGCAGCATCCTCATCCTCTGTTCCGAGAAATGAAGTTGAATTACTCCGTCAGACCAAAAGCTGCAAAATTGTAGGATGACGTATTGAGAGTATAGAGGAGATTTTCTCAAAACTTTCTATAGCACTCTACATGTGCTCCCGCAATTACTCAGGTGTGGATTTTGCATTTAAAACTAGATGTAAAGTGGAACACCGCTAAATTGAAATGGAAAAGAAACCGCCGAAAGCGCTGAAAGAGGGCGCCACTTTTTGAGTGGTGAGCCAGTCCATCAGGGAATAAGACCGTACGCTGAGATGAGAGAGCACAGAGGGCGATGGAAACGCAGACACCAACGTCTTCTCAACGGTGGGCTTAACACCGGTACGCCGAACATTTAACGATACAGTGAAAGTCTTGGCCGCCCTTGCCACTGGAAAGGTTTCGAAGGCAGCGGTTGCCATGGCTGATAGCGATGGCGAGTGGAAGAGACGAGTTGAAAACGTATGCGTGGGAAGGTGTCGAAAGACACTCCAACCACTCCGCTCGCGCTCGAAGGTAGTGGTGCGACGACCTGTCGATGTTCTACACTTTTTAACACTATTTTTGGATACTCAAGGCGAATTCTCAGGATCACAGTTAGGCTTGGAATCCAAACTTTATTGCTTCATTGAATAAACACAGCTTTGTCAACATTAGGCTTTGAGGACGAGCTTTCTGCGAAGAGCACGAGCGAGTGCTGCTTTGTCAACCGCACGGTTCTAAAACATGTGAATTTGCTGTTATCACATTTTCACATTTCTAAGGCAATGTAGTTTGTACCTTCTGTGTAGCATAGTCGGCGCGATTTCCACCGGCTCCTACTGGCTGCTGCTCGAGTGCCGCCTAAAAGTTCTTATTTTAGCAATTCCAGGTGAGGGTACAAAAGTAACATTTACGGGGCTAGCAGCAACACTGACGCCTCCGTCGGACACAGGTGGTCCACCGTCAGGACCGACGGCTCCTCCTCTGAATTCCTTGCTGTCACTTGCCACGGCTGGCACTATTATTATAGCTGCTGCTCCTTCTGGTGCTGCAAATACTCTTAATAATGCTCAGCGAAGCAAAATTATGTTATTTCATTCCCAATAGTACCTGTTCCTGCGCTGTATTTTGAACTGGGCTGTGCTTCAGCGGCTACTTTTGAAGACGCACCTTCCTTGTAATTGTCAGGTGCAGTTTCCCTGTACTTGTCTTCGGTTTTTGGTAGTGCATAGGATGCTGAAAAGGGCGCATCTCTTAGTGGGGGCAAAGCGTCAACGAAAGTATAAGATTACGTTTTTTCGAACGATCTGGGCAAGGGCAGTATTCAGCATCGTGACCGTTGCGACCAATCTGACCAGGTAGACCAGGGAAACCGACTGGGCCAGGTTCTCCAGGTGCTCCCTGAAAAACGTTATTTAGTCACTAAAAATCAACCTGTCATTCGTGAACCTACAATAGCTCCAGGTGGTCCCTGAGGGCCTGGCAGAGCGTCATCTCCACGCTCCCCTGGAAGCCCTTCGTCTCCAGGCATTCCTGCTGGACCCAATTCTCCTTGTGGTCCTGGTGCACCTTTAGCGGTACCACGAGCGTCGTTTCCAGGAGCACCTTGAAAGGAAATTCGAGAAAGTGCCTTACAGATTTGAGCGAAGACCAACCTCTTTCTCCGGTTGCACCGACTGGCCCAGGAAGACCAGGTGCGCCATCGACGCCTTCATCACCGGGAGCTCCATTGTCTCCAGGCTTTCCCTGTGGACCTTTTTCGCCCTTGAAATATTTACGTGCTAATACCTTTACTAAAGATTGAAAATATTTCAACACACCTTTGGCCCACGAGGTCCATGTTTTCCTTTGTATCCTGGTTGACCAGGTGGGCCTCTAGGGCATGGTAGACATTCAGCATCGGACAGGACACCATTGCCCCCTCCAGACCTTCCAGCGAGTCCAGGAACTCCAGGGACGCCGTCGTTTCCTGAGAACATCTCTATGAGCAGATCACTGCGGGGTTCAGAAGGCTCTTACCTTCTCTCCGGGAGCTCCTTTGGAACCCTTAGGTCCAGCTGGACAGCTGTTGGCGGCACCAGCTCCAGTAGCTACACTGTTGCCCCCAGAACCTCTTCCAGCTCCAGCACCATTGTTAGCGGCTGCTCCTGCTCCTACAGGACCATGTGCAGCGCCTTGTGCAGATACAGATCCTGCAGATGCAGACGCTCCTACTCCTTCAGCACCCGTATGTGCACCGTTATTCGAGGATCCTCCTCCGGCTCCATTTCCGGTACCAGCGTCTTGTCTATCTGAAGCAGAAAGAAAACTAATCGAGCGTATTGTGGCATTTGAAAGGCAGTGAAAAACCGTGACGTACATGTTTGACGGGACGTTCTGCGGAGCATTTCACCCTCGCTCATCAGGTCTTTCCACATAACGTTCGTCATCTCACTGAAGAGTTCCCGCGATTCCATCAATTCCTCTTCGATATTGTTCATTATTGTGAACAGGACAGGCATTGAGATGACCTAGGAAACAAATAAGTAGTTGAAGAGAGTACGTGAACACTCTTGAGAATGAGAAGCCATACCAGTGAAAGGAAAGCGCATCCTGACAGGAGCGTCGCAAAATTTGTTGAAGTGTTCAGCAAAGGTGAAGGATATCTTCCCATCTGAAACGGCAAGAATGCTCAAAACTTCATGGAAACTCAAAAAAAGCTTCCGAGAAAATCAGGGGAATGTGGTGGTCCACAACACCCCTCCCCTCCTACACCATGCAGCTTGGTCAATTTTTTTGAGCAAGTACCCAATCGTAAAGTAGCTTCCAAAACTGTTTCGGAAAGAAAAGGAAATGGAAGTAATGGTGGAGAAGCAATAAGACCTAGACTGAGAGTCGGATTAGTCGATGCTGAGAATGTGTGGTTACTGCTTTGCTGCGAGACCCTTATATAGTAAGCGTGACATTATCGGTTATTAAAGATCTACGAAGAGATTTTCAGTTTCAAACTAGTTCGCAGCGATAACTCCGGGATCCGAAATCGGATTAAATACCACTGTCACATCTCATCCGCAATGAAACGTGGTGTCGACCTTTCTCAAAAGACTTTTTATTTACAGGCCCTAATTAATTTTACAAAAAATGCTCGGCTCTAGCAGAGCAGATAAGTGGAATCAGTAAGGTACAACCTAATCAAAAATCACACGTGTTCTGACTTTTTTCGAACGTAACACAAGCGATAAACTATTGAGTTGTCCAGTTACGTTGTCTGGCTTCAGATTTTTTGTTTTATTTGAAGGAATCATCTACTGACGGTTTCTAATCATGCTTAGTTTGTTGTTCTACAGCAGGGGTGGGGGGGGGCAAAATAAGACATTTTGCCTATGGTCGTTGGATTCCGGCCCGTTTGTCTCGCCCCCGAGATTGCTGTCGTTGACGGGAGCTTCGAAGAGTATTCTAAGTGCCTCTACTAGTGACGCCGAGGCCCTCTTTACTGCCTACCCGTCTTCAGAATATGATATCTGTCACGTCGTCGACAAAATTGGAGACAAAATGTCTTTTTTTAATTGGCCCGCTGTATATGGTGCCGCAAGAGAGAGATTGCGTCACGGGAGATTTTGGATTCCCGTCCCAGCATGAAATACGGTAGTTTGTTGTGACAAGAGACAAGTACAGAAGTTCAACTATTGGTGGTGAGAAGAACGGAGCTAAGAAAAAGAAGCAAATACAGAAAACTTTGGGGACGGTCGGCGTGGTTAGGAGGCAGTTCCGGTGGACAATTTCCTTTGAGGTTTTGATGTGTTACCAGAACTTCAGTGTTTTTTGAGAATTGTGTCTGACACCAGTTCTAAAAAGGATATACGAGGTCGAAGACTTTGCTTTGCTTGTAAATGTTGCGCGCAATGTCCAAAGGTTCTATCCTGAACAAAACTTCTTGAATCAGAAGAGATCTTTGAAAATAAGGTCTGTTCGTCCAGTTTGGAAGGTCGTCCGATCGAAGTGTAGTACTTTCGCTTTGGATTCTGTCGTTGCTCGCTCATACTATATTACAGTATCTGAGCTATGTAGAATGCAAATGGTAAAATAATACGACATAAATTCTTTTTTTTTTTCAGTCAAAATTCAAATTCAATCAAAAGGTTTGGTCCTGAAGGCGACATGTTCGAAACATGGACCGAATATCCTATTTCATCTACAGGGGTGGCCAAAAAACACACCTCGCTCATCACTCATATAAGCAAGCTTTGACTCGCACAAGCTGGCGTGGTCCATGGCGTGGTTTTCCGACTTACTGGTCCTGTAGTGTCCCTACAAACGTAGATGCAACCCCTGGTCACTGCCCTCATCGTCTTCAAAATACATCATCTGCAATCGCTGTCGAGCTAGTAGTCTTCCGTTACTGCTCCGGCCTAAAGCACTTACAAGATTTATTGGATTGCCTCACTGTTGAATACCTTCCTAGAGACATTAGCTCGAGATATGCAGACTCTTTCGAAACTCTCTTTCCAAATAATGACGTAATGGTCCATTATCAGTCAAGGACCACGTTGGGCTCAACCCGTGCACAAAGGGTACTGACATATTCCTCTGATTTTGTCGGTGTAGAAAACTGTTATGACGTTTTCTGATAAATTGGAATGTGCTTTAAAATTTTCAGTTGAGAGCATACGGCATGAATTAAGGATGTTGTGATTAGGGCCGTTTTGAACGCGAAATGAATGTCTCTTTTTTTAAGCCGACCATGTATGGAACGTGAAGGGCAAAACAGTGTCAACGGATATTCCCCATAGATGCCTTCTTTACCTGAACTCAATTTTCTTCATTCTTGGATGTTTGAGATTGTGGAAGGTGAGTATCAGTATATCAAACAAGATACATCACTTTTAAACTTGAGTCAGCTATTGTTCAAAGATCTCATTTCAAAATACGGAAAGATGAAAAAATCGAGAAGCCAATGGTCCAAAGGAGGTCCATATGAGTGGGACGAGCCATGCACTCGTTTCCAATTTGAAACTGCGTATTTAATTGAATGGAGTCCTCTACAACTTAACTACATTGAGACATCTTCAGTCGATGGGCTGAGCACATAATGATGCAAAGTACAGCGTTTCAGAGTGAAGTCCCTCTCACGTATCATGAAGGCTTCTTCAGACGCTCGTACTGGGCAAACGGGAACGAGTTGTTGGTCAGTGCTGTGATGTTTGTCCTGTGTTTATACCCGTGTTTACATTCTAAGCGACAGCGTCCAAGACGAGAGCTGTCACACTTCCCGACACGCTGTTGGCGACTCCTTTACACCCTGAGTAACTTCAGAAAGCAATTTCTGCAGTCTTCACGTTTCATATTAATAGACGATTCGCAATAGTAGAAAGATCAGAAAGAAGTGTATGCCCCGTTCGTTGGTTATTGGCCATTTGTCCGTTTATCTTTCGGTCACATCTCGTTCTTATCGCTCTCATCACCAAGATCATGTCATTTCCAAAGCCTTTTTCTGATGCAGGATGAATTGTTGATGATTACAGATTAACATTCTCTTATGAAATGTAAAGTGCAGCACATCCGACAATAATACCCTTGAGTTTTGCCGGCCGGATGTTCGTAAGTTTAGAGGCAAAGGCGCTCGATTTGGGGTATAGTAGCGCTCAAAGCTGAGTGGAGAGATGGGAAATGGAGCGACAATGAATGAAAAAACGAAAAGAAACCGTCCGATAAAGGCTGACAAATAGAAGCCCCTGTAAAAACACGTCTAGAAGGCAGGCATACGCAGGAAACATTTTCCAGCGATATAGGAGGCAACTGTGCCTAGTTTGTTACCTCAAATCAAGCCCATCGGTGGGCAGTCACAGCTAAGCCGTTCAGGCGGAAGAGAGTAACAATACTTTTTCTGGGATCTTTTATTACCGGCGACGATCTTCGAATTACGGATAGTCGTGTCATCTCTGTGGTGCGTGACCACGCCTAGAGGTGATGGATCGGGATTGGTTTGTCGACACCGACTTTGCGCTTTTAGGACGAATTTTGTTGCAGTAGATGTGCAGAGTTCATGCTTACAATCTGTTACTGCTCAGTCCAGTGAGATTTAGCACTGGGCATATTGCGTTGCTGTGATTTGGCAGCACCGAGCCACACTCAGCACCTATGATGTTGTAGGGGCGGTGAACCAAGAAACAGGTTAAAGAATCTGGGCGTAACCAGTTGCAAGGACTCTTAGTGCCCTTCATGAATCACTGTTTACTCAAAAGTTGAGAATTCTCTCAAAAGTCTCTTCCGGAAGTAAGGCACAACAGTTGGCGCACGTCAGGTAACCCCTAACTGCATGAAAGCTTCCATTCAAACAGCGGGTCTTAATGCGCAGCAACGTGCTGATAATGAAACCATACGTCTCATCATTGTTTTTTTTCGTAATAAAAATGCAACTCATGCGATTGTCCACTATTCCAACTTGTTCCATTGCGAATAGCACAAGCAACTTAACAAAAGGACACCAATTTGTGAGCGAATTTTCAACCGGGTTGTATGGTCGGCAACGTTGAAGGGATTGTCACGGCGGGTGGGTGTCTTACTTCATCTTTTACGAGGCAAAATAGGAAGGGATCTGATGGGGCCGCTACTGGGTTGTGCAGGAGTCCATCTTGCCTTTTGACATCCGTTTTCAGAGTTATCTGTAAGATAGTTGAGTGGCATACACTCAAACGAACAACATGCATGAAAGACTGTATAATTAACACCAGTACGAACAAACTATCTGGGTTTTACTCTAGATTTTGACAGGGCGCATTAATGTAAGGTGACCACTCGATTGTTCAAGTTTCACGAGAACTTTTCAAAGGCACAGACCAAGCGCAGGTATCTGTAAGTGACTTCTCTTCACGTCTGTAGTAGGAGATCTATTAAAGATGTCCATCAATGGCAACCTTCGCGATGTGTTCGGAGATCGCGCCTACAGTGGACGACTCGGGCTTACAAAGGTAGCTTCAAACCGCTTCAATTTCCACATCTGCCACAAGCAAGGCTATTGTCTAACCCCCTCTGCATCTTATCGCGCTCGTCATACCTCATATACCTCTGTCCGTGCACTCCGCTGATTTGCCCAGCTCGCAGCGCATTGCGAATGTGAAGCAAGATCTTTCAAACATCGCGTTTTTTGACAGATTCACTTTCCTTTCGTTTTACGGCCCATTTCGTACCCATACTTTTATTCGTGTGCAAAGACCACACCAGTCTGTACATTGGAATGCTCTAAGGATACACCTAGATCCTCTCCCGAGCAAACAACGTTGTACCAGTCTTCATTGCGAGTTGTCGCTACATTATTAGGATGCTAGTTTTCATTATGATCCAATGTATGACTTGTCTGTAGAACATCGAGGCAGCTTTCTCTCTCCTTGGCCAATCTAGAAAGATAACCCAATGAAACAGTTGCCGTTGACCGATCCCTTTTTGGGATGCGACACCGTGGCTTTACTTTTCATTTATTCATCGTAGTGAACACCTGACCTGCGATGCCTAACAGGGGGGGGGGGTGGCAAAAAAAGTGCTCACTTTATCTCACATGTCAAAAGCAATAATCTGCGAAGCTGCGGAAACCAATCAAATGAACCCAACACATCAACCCGCTATCAAAAACGGTTACATGACAGCCTCTACACACACGACACGTCAGAAGATTTTCCC